CGCGCGAAACACTATGATAATTTTGATAAAGACAGAATAAGGATATCCTTAATTTTTGGAAACAGGCCATACTTGAGGCAAAACAGTTTAATGTAGTTAGTTTCAATCAAGGAAAAGAAATGATTATGACTCAAAATTTTAAGCACTATTTAGATAAGTAAAGTGAATGGAGTCGATAAACTTTTGGTACGTTTGGTAAGTATAGTAGATAATGGTATTAAAGAAAAAAAGGTTAAAATATTATCCTTTGTAGTGTCGAGTCATGTCTATTGTTATATACGATGTTCTTTCTACTTAAAACTCGTATGGGATATGTAAATTTTTTATGGATCCATCCTCAAAGAACCGGACAAGAAAATTTTCATCATCCAGCAGGAGTAAGACTACAAAGAATCAAATGAAAAACATATTATTGGACTTCCACATCATATCCGTGCTTAATAAAATAGTGATTGATCAAGAAGCAGAATATATATAGTTTCTTCAGTGACCATTTATGAGAATTCAAATGTAATTTACAAATTATAAGAACTTAAAAATTATGGAGTTGTAAGTTGTGTTTCTTACTTGGAAGTTGAATAAATAGAGTTGAAGCCTCAAGAATTGGAATTTGGAGCTTTCCAACTTTTATGCCCAATTTTTGCGAGCATAACAGCCGTGTGGTGTAGATTTATTAGTCTCACCAGCTAAGGCATTTGCATAAGTAATAAATATCAAAAAGACTAAAATGACTTGAGGGGTAGTAGGTTTAGCATCAGCTCGATAATTTGATTATCTTAGCTTTAGTTTTATAGACTAGTTGACTTCTTTAAGTGGAAGATTTATTTATTCTGGTTGGGGGGCGGGGGGTGAGGAGCATTTTGTTTTCTTGTTCTCTTTCCTATTCTTTGTTGTTTATGTCGAGATAGATAATAATAACAGTGCATCCTAATAATGAGCATTTAAGATGGGACATTTTTTTGTCTAACCGGGGTCCAACTCCAACTGATGGAAGTAATTGCAGGTTAAATGACAACTAGACAAAAAAAAGGTAAAAAATATTGGACGGGTTCATATATTTGGACTAAAGAACCAAATCCAGCAAGTTTAGTTTCTGCAAAAGTAAATAGTACATGCATTTCAATCCCTTGTACTTGGGAGAGTCCAACCTTCAATGCCTTGGATGCCATTACGTCTGCTGCAGGTGGCACTGCTCAAGGTGTTCCCATGGCTCGAGCAGGTCACCGCGTGGTGGCTGGGGGATGGACTTAAGAGCCTCCCCAGGAGTCAAATAGTCCACTCAGAACTGGTATGAACAAGAAGAGCCTGGCTGCTTAAATAAAGCAGTGCCTAACAATGTTGTAAGCCAAAAAGGAGAAGGAAAAACAGACTCTTTAACAACTGGAAATAATGCGAATACACAAGATAATACATCAAGGTGATTTTCCTTCAAGACAGATGAGGGAAAAAGTTCAGCAATGCTACTGAATGAATATTAAAAGCAAATTATTGAGATCATGTTTGCTGCATTTGCTTTTTCAAACCTCCAAGGGGTCCATGACCATAACCTTTTCCCCCCACCTCATTTGTCCTACAATTACAATTGCTAATATTAAGATTTGTACCACATTTGAGACATAAACCTTTGCAACTCGGATTACATACAGCATTGATGGTAATCTCTATATGTACAAGGTCCCTTATATTCTTTGAAATGTCGATAAATTTTTCCTCCAGGGGAAAATATAGTTGATCCTCTGGATCGATCAAAGCATCGTCATCTGATTCATCCTCTTCATTCACACCAAAACTTTTGAATTTGTCTTCTCCGAAGATTACTCCCATGTTTATGGTCTCTGATTCTTGAATGGGTTCTTCAGACAATAAAATTGAGAAGTCCGAGTAGACACTCTCGGCAGCAGGTTCACCGCACCTTCGGCATTAGCATAATGAGTTACTTTGAAACAAAAATCATAAGATTATATGCACAACAGAAAAAATAGTAAGGCTATGTTTGAGCCACATTTAAAAAAAAAAAAATACATTCTTAAACAGTGATTTGACATCATTTCAACCACACATTCTTTGATAAAATAATATTACACACAAATCCAAAACTTTTTTTTTATTTTTTAACCACACATTTTCCATCTATACACTATTCAAAAATGCCTTTTTAGGAATATAATGTGACTCAAACAAGGGCTAAATCTTGAGAAACCTAAAAATGAAGACAAAAATGATACAGAAATTAATAGTAACTATTTAATGTTTCCCTCTCCTCTTTTGCACGGCCAAGTGTCTATATCGTAGATACATGCCTTTATCTAATTACTTTCGGATGCAAAGTAACACTTCCACAAAGATCTGAGCACTCCAATCCAAAATATATATTCAAGTTAGATTAATGCTACTTGTACATAATAGAGTTACATAATGGTTTACATTTAGATAAGGTGTTAAAAGGAAAGTGAGGAAGTTTTATTTATTTATTTGGTTGAATAAATTCTGACCCAATCATATCTCACTACATCATGTGTCTGTAAACCATTATATAAATCGTTATGTACATGTAGCCCAACCGTTCAGGTTAATACTGCTAAATTTCCAAAAAAAGAATTGAATATGTGTAATAAAAACAGCCAAGATGGTTTTTCTCACCAAATTCAAAAGTAACGAAAAATTTACAATAGAAATAAAAGTCAATCTACGGTTGATGGAGGGAAATCATGGAGAAGAAGGTTGAAGTAATAGAAGTGCCAGTGGAAGAGGAATAGGAAAATGTACGCATTGGTAAACAGGCTATTGTTGGGATCTTGTTGAAAAACCTCCACCATATCCATATCTGAGGATAAGTAATTGAGTACACTAAGTGCTCATTTGTTCCCGAGTACTGGGTAGGATTGGCAGTTAAATAAATAAGATTTAACTTATTTTTATGCCTTAATACTGTCCAGTAGTATCTACACAAACATGCCGTAAGTTCCTTGATTATCAGGCATCCAAGAAAGCAACTTTTCTTGGAGCATCATTAGCCTAAAAGGTCAAGCTTCTGCATGTCTATCCACCTCCGTCCATCCAACACTTAGAATCCCTAATTCTGGCATGAATGATTTATATGTCAGGAACCTCTGGCTAGTTCTCTAATCTAAAGTGTCACCATCATTATCTATTATTACTTTAGCAGACGGCCTTTTACCTGTGTTAGTGGCATAGGCTCAATGAATACAAATTCCTTCTATCTTTATCTTTCGTCTTGTATCTTCTGATGTTTGTTAACAGATTAACTCAATCTCAAATTGTTCTGAGAAATTTGATTGCCTTAATTCAGGATCTGGAAATAAGGATGATTGGAAGAGGACATGAATCCATTGGTCTTGACTACTATGATCGGAAGTCCTCCCAGTGACACGAAATATGTTGTTTCTCCTTTTCAAATTGATCGCCTTACACTTGAAGAAGTTAGTTACTAGTTTAGGACATTTCTAAAATTTGAATTATGGGTCTCCTCATTTGGGATTGCCCCACTGTGTCCCTTTTGCTTCTCAGGTCAATAACCAGACATTAACTCCTTTATACTAGTGCACTTATGTCACTTCAAAATTTGGTACCTGAGATTTTTTTACTCGGATAATTAATCAAGAGTTACTTGGCTATATTCAAGGAAACTCAAATCCTGAGATTTTTTTCAGGTTTTGTGCATTCTCGTGACCCTCATATTGCTTTGAGAAGGCAAAGGGCACCTTATAATACTCTTCACCCTACTCTTAACTTTGTTTCTTACATGTTCAAATCCTTCATATTCTTCCTTTGTTGCTACCAGCACTACATGCCAACACCAAAGAATATGACAGAAGCTTTATCTCATTCTCAGCAGCTTGAGTGTATGAAAACTTTCTGCAGTCTATTTACTTTCTTATTTACTCAATTCAAAGCAAACAAAATCAACCAGGGTCAAGAATATAGCTGGCCTTTACAGAGTGTGATGCATTGGCTCCAATCTAGGCAATCTTCAGAGAGAGAGAGAGACGTTGATAATGAAAATACAACCCTATAATCTCAATACATAAAAAAATAAAAATTTCCCAAATTCCCTCTCTTGGGTATGAAACCATCTTATTCTCTTTGTCAATCTCTATGTCAACTTCCTTGTCTTTGTATTCCCCAACCACCAATAGAGTTAAAACTTATAAAAATTTACTTCATAAATCTAGTCCTTTTTCCCAAATCCCTCTCTTTGATATAAATTACAGTTCTCCATCAGTCAGCCTTCATTTCATGTTCACCATGCCATTCTTCCTACTTCTCGCTAAGCTATTCATTCCGTGGTACATAATAAGTACATTGCAAAGATTTTTGCTTCCATAACTGCATAAGGTTTCTATAGACATCATATTATTACTTCTAAAATAAAGTCAAAATAACACCTTTTGTAAGCAAAAAAAAAAAAAAAAAAATTACGCTATCGGAAAAAACAAATC